CCTGTTAACGTTTCGGTCAATAATCAGCCTTCAGCCTTCCGCCTTTGATTCCAAAATAAAGGAACAGAACGCGTATACATCTCCGCGGACGTAGAAGCAAGCGAACAGAGCAAAGCACAAAGTGCAAAGTGTGAAGTGGGCGAAAGTGGTGGGAGGAAAAGGGAAACGCAAAAACGCACCTTATACCGCCCCGGCAACCCACACTGTCTGCAGATCCGCTGGTTCTGCGCGTTGGTCGCGGGGAAGGGGGAGCTCGCGGGCGTCTGCGAAGAGGTGTAAGTGGCTTATCCCACGAAGCGGAGGAAGAAAGAGGAGGCAAAGGAGCTCGACAAGACCGGATCAGGAAAATCGGCCCAAATCCCAAACGCTCGAAGAAAAAAAATAATGGAGAAAGGACGTACCACGGCTCCCACCGGCACCCCCACACCCACCCCCACACCCGTCCCAGTGCCCTTGCGCCCCGGCGTCGCCTGTGCCTGTGCCTGCGCCTGCGGTGCCGCACCTCCAGCGGCGTACACCCCCCCGCCCACACTCCCCGCCCTCCCCGGCTGCTGCTGTGCCTGCTGCACCACCCCCGCCCCCGCCCCCGCCCCCGCGTCCCCCGCGCCCGCCCCCGCGCGCAGCGCCCCACTCCGGCGAGCGCCCCGGCCCCTGCCCCTGCGCCGCTCCACCGTGTCCCTGGTGCGCCTGGTGGTGCACGGCGGAAGCGGACGTAGACGCAATATGGGCATGCGGCCGCGGCGACGCGTTCGCGCTCTCGAGCAGCATCGCGTCGAGGTCGTCCGACGCCGTGCTCGGGGACCTGTCCCTCCCGCCCCCTGCGCCGTCCCCGCTGTGCTTGCGATGCGCGTGGTGTTGCGCGTGGTGCGGGGCGTGCGCGTCGAGCGTGTGCTGCCGCGACGCCGACGCGTGTCCGCGCTCGGGCGTGCGTCGGCGCGAGGAGGCGCCCGCTGGTGGTGGGAGGCCCGCGGGGGGGGTAGCGCGCGGGGACGGAGGGTGGGTAGTATGGGGCGTTGGGGTTGGCGTTGGGGTTTGGGTTGGCGGTGGGGTGGTACTGCGATATTGAAACAATAGGTGTCAGTAAGAAGCAAGACGAAGGAATTCAGAGAGGAATGAAAGGAGCAAGAGCGAAAAATAGGAGAAGACATCAGCCAGCCGTGGAGTGGACGGTATGGCATCCGCGCGGCAACCGCGAAGCGAAGAGGCCGCCGCTCGACACCACATTTCCCTGCTCCATGGCCAAATGCAGTCAAGTCAGGGGAGGACGAAGTCGACTACCCCGCCATCCGCCATCCACCCGGCGGGCATACATGCCAAAAGAAAAGCAAAGAAAAAAAAAAAAAAAAAAAGCAATAGAAGAAAAGAAAAGATGGCGACTCGCGATCCTGCCTGGCTGCAGTGAGGCGTCACCCGCCACGTGCGGCCTACGCGCGTCGACGACATACATGCGACATGCGCTCCCGCACGCGCACGCGCGCGCCGACGAACGCCCCAGCGCTGCTAGACACCAGGTAGCCATCCGCCCTCCCACCATCGCACACCACCGCACCGCCACCCTGCACCACCGCACCGCGGACGGAGACTCGTAGCGAAACCGTCCTCGAAGAGAAGAGAGCAAAAAAAATGCCCTTCCCCCCCAAAAACCAAACGTCCCCGCTCCACGGCCAACGGGGAGGACTGCGCGGTCAGGACGATGTCTGTCAAAAGAAAAGAAAGGCAAAGGATGGCGACCCGCGACCCGCACCGCCTGCGCGTCGACGGCATGCACACATGCGACACCCGCACTACGCCGATCGCGATGGAAAGGGGCACGCGCGCGCCGCCATACGACGCATGTCCTGCGCCCCACACCACGGCACGCACACCGTCCGGAGACACGGAGACACCAGCGTGCGCAGACGGCCTCACAACCGCGCGGCGCACGTCACGAGAGCCAAAGCCAAAGCCAATCCAGCCGCCAAGTCGACTCGTAGCGAAACCGTCCTCGAATCGAGTACGAAAGCCCGTCCCCAGCAAAAAAAACCTCGCCCTCCCCGAAAAAAACGCAACGCCCCCCACAAAAAAAGGAAGAAAGAAAGAAAGAAAGAAAGGCCGAACGAGGTGCAGAAAAAACCGCAACACCAAAAGAAACGCAACACAACGAAAACTTACATCATCCCTCCACTCCCCCTCCATCGCCACCCTTGCCCGCTTCCGCTCCCCCCCCTCCCTATACCCCAGCTCCATGCTCTCCGTGCGCGGCCGGCGCCCGTTGCCGTTGTGTCCTGCTCCCCCTCCGCCTCCGCTGTTGTTATTCGCAGCGTTGGAGGTAGTGGCGTTGGCGTTGGCGTTGCTAGTAGTGGCGCTGGGCAGCGGCGGCAGCGGCAGCCCCCCAAACGCGTCCCTCTCCCTATCCCTATCGCGCACCCGCCTTCGCGCCTCCCTCTCGCGCTCGCCCGCATAGTAGTGCGGCGCGGGCGCATAGGGGTACGCCGCGAGGGGGAACGGCGGCGCGGGGTAGGCGGACCCGGACCCGGACCCACCCGAGGCATAGGTGGTGGCGATGTGCGGCACGTCGAGCAGGACGAGCTTCCCGCCCGCCTCGCCCTTCCCTCCTTCCCCCCCTGGGAATGGCGCGAACGACGCCCCAGACGCGACGACGCGCCCCATGCCCCCGCGCGCATCGCGCCCGCGGCTCTCCACGAAGCCCAAATACGCGTCCAGCTGCGCCCAGTTGCTCTGCACCAGCGCGAGCCGCGCCAGCGCCTCGTCGCGCGCGCGCTCCGCGGCCTCGCGCGCGGTGTCGGCGGCGAGCAGGGCGGAGGCGTACTGCGCGGAGAGGTCCGCGGTGCGGGTGGAGAGGGCGAGGAGGTTGTGCAGGACGGCGGGGGGGAGGGGGAGCGCGGGGTCGGGGTCGGTCGAGGACGAGGAGGATGCGGGCGCGAGGTCGGAGGGGTCGGAGGTGGGGGCTGAGGCGGCGGGCATGGACGCGTCGCCTGCGTCGGCGGTGGTGGAATTCGTGGAAGTGGAAGTGGGAGCGACGCTCATCTCGCCCCCGGCGCCCACCACGACGCCCACCATCCCCAGCAGGCGCTCCGCCCGCTCGGCGCGCTTCGTCGCGGCGCCCAGCTCGTCGCGGAGGGCGTCGGCGGAGGCGAGCGCGGTGGCGAGGAGGGTGGCGAGCTGGGAGGCGGTGGTGGGTGCGTTTGCGTTTGCGGTACTACGGGATCGATAGTGTCAGTATGAGTGAATCTCGAGAGGAAGGAAAAGTGAGACGCGCATGCACTGCGGCACGCGGCAGGCGAACGAGGGCAGGACAGAACGAAAGACACGCACGCTGGGGTTGGCACGGACGACGGCGAGGCGGGGAGCGTCAGGGTGAAGGTCGGGGTCGACGTAGCGGCCGCGTCCGTCTTGGTCGATGGAACACCTTCGGATTCAGCTGTGGCGGCAGAGGGTTTGGCAGGGGCGGAGTCGGGCATGGGCACGTCCTGCGTCGTGGTAGCGGTGGTAGTATTTTGTTTAGCAGTCTCGATGGAAGTGGACTCGGAAGAGCCCGGCAGGGTGGCTATAGGCGGCGCCTCGCTCTCGGTCTCCATCGTTATCGTCTAGCAGCAGTAGTCTCTTCACTTCTCAGTCAATTCAGGGGTGCGCGCAGAGAACAAGAGGCAGATGACCGAGGCCGTCAGGTTACAAGAAGCGCGGATTCTTCCAGAAACACGTCGGCGGAGGTAAGCGACGGCGGCGTCGGGCGGCCGGGGAATGTGGCGGCACGCGTGCGGTTGTACGCGATTTGATCGTGCGATGGCGCGTACTATGCGTATGCGTATGTGTTTTCTGCGTCGACGACGAGGACGACGGTGAGCCGGACTTTATATAAGGACGGGGCGCGATGACGGCGTACCGTAGTATACGCGCGACCGGTTATTCAGCCGAGCGAGCAGGAGTAGTAGGTATTTGGGTGGGGGTTCGGAGGGGACGGGGGACGGGAAGCGCAAGCGCGTGCGTGGGTGCGGGTCCTCGGCTTTTAAGCACGCCCCTTGTCGTGCGGTGCTTGTCCTTGGTCTGTTCTGGATCACGGCACCCTGCGCCCCGCCGCTGCGTGCGTGCGTGCGCTTCTTTTTCACCCACCCTGCCTCCCTCCAACCCGAACCGAATCGATCTGCGCCCGTGTGCCCGCGTGGCGAACGCATCACGGAGTTAGCGCGGCCGTGGTGTCAGCGGATAGGAGTGATCGGCGCCTTCCGCCTTCCGCCTTTTTGTTCTTTGTTTGCCCACCCAAAAAAGAACAGGGGGTCGGTGCGTGCTTCACTCCGTGCGGTGGAGCCTTTGTCTCCAAGTACTGGCAGACTGAGAGTCTCCAAACCACACACACCATGACATCGCCGCCAAAGAAGCAGGAAGCGCCGCGCTCCCCGGGGTCCCCCCCACTCGATCAACAACTCCTTGCGCCCGCCAATCACATCCCGCCTCATCGCGTTCAATTGCCATTGCCTCGTGGCACGCTGCTGAGTTCCCCGCTGCCAAGTCGTGTTGCCGTTCCGGTCCCGCCCGCCCGCCCGCGCGATGCTAATTCCGCCCCTACACTGATCGGTGAACTGTCAGCGCCAGAGTACTGGCACTACAATATCATTATCGTCGCGCTCTTGGTGTAACGGCAACACGGCGTGGCTCGTCACCAGCACCACTCCATCATGATTACTCTTTCTCCTCTAGTCCCCCATTGCGCCCTTGGTGTAACGGTAACATACGCACTCTACTTCTTTCGAGACGAGTGGTCCCGGGTTCGACTCCCGGAGGGCGCCTCAGCTTGCGTGCTGGTGGATTTGCTTTTGTTTTTATTTTTATTTCTTCTTGCGTTCACACTTTACACATCTTCCTCTTTCCCGATGGTTACGAGTTATGTACCCTTCTTACAGTTACACATGAATGCAAAACAGAGTCGCGAAGTTACCTCAAATAAACATTGGCAGGCAACAGCACCACCTTAGGCTCATCCACTCTTGGTAAACATTGTGATTGCGCTCTTGGTGTAACGGTAACAACACACTCACTATTTTCATCCAATTCGAGTGGTCCCGGGTTCGACTCCCGGGGGGCGCCTGGACCTCATGAATGCTTTTTGTTTTATTTTTATTTCTTCTTCCGTTCACACTTCGTTCTTCCTTCGAGCAGTGAGTCACGGTGCTTCAACTCAATACATGAATGTCGGCACGCAGCAACAACCACACCCCATCCCAATCTGGGCACACATTCTGATTGCGCTCTTGGTGTAACGGTAACACACGCTCTTGGAGCGGTCCTGGGTTCGACTCCCGGAGGGCGCCTAGCATCCCAGGTATCTTTTTGTTTTTTGCTTTCTTCTTCTGTTCACACACTGGCACTTCATTCCCTCTTCGTTCGGACTGCACATAAATTCAAAACAGAGCCGGGAAGTCAACTCAACAAATGAATGTCGACAGGCTGGTTAATCATAACAATCGTAACAACAATCACACCCCACCCCAATCTCGGCACCTACTCTGAGTGCGCTCTTGGTGTAACAGTAACACAACTCACTGCTCTTTCGGGTGTCGAGTGGTCCTGGGTTCGACTCCCGGGGGGCGCCTTGTTGTGCTCACCGAAGGTTTTTCAAATTCTTTTTCATCAAGGCTTATTCAATTTTTGGCCTAAATATAAAACATCAAGCCACACCCCCGCTCGTGGACCGACTTTTTCCTTGCTTCATAGGGTGTTTGGTTTTCAAACCGAGTTGGTTCAACCAGGGAACGTCACACTGTAGAGAGTTCGCGCAGTCGGATCAAGTGTGCCTAAACACTCGGTCTGAGTGTATCAGCACACTTGATCTGACTGCTATGGAACACTTGGATTAAGTGTGTAGAGGCAGTCGATCCGACTGCATTTCGGCCATCTTGGCAGTCAGTCCGACTGCCTCTACACACTTGGATTGAGTGTTTCCAGGTAGTTGCATTGACTGTATACTGACACTTGATTTAGCTGCATATATCACTCGGTTTGTACCCATAAATCTGTACTATTGCGCTATATATTACATGGACTATTATACTCCCAATCCATTATCCTACCAGTCGAATCAAGCCCTGGTTTCAAAGTAGAAGTCAACAGTTGATAACCTGAGTCCAAAGCATCACATACCGTTCTCGACGCCACCGAAATGAATCGACCTTGAGTGAAATAAGGGAAAGTCAATAAAGCGACTTGTGGTGCACGAACCTTGGATCTATCCGTTCAATCGGGCGCTGATGCTGCTGAGGGAGCATACTGAAAATAAATCAAGGAAAATTCATCTGCAAATGATATGAAAAGTTAGTGCAAGGAAATGCGCAAATCTGAGACGAAGAGAAACTTAAAACAACTTTGCGTCGTTTGAATATTAACCAAGGTGTGAAGGCGCAGTGGGGTCATGTAGCTGTGCCGTTGAGTACACAGTCGCGTCGTCCAAGGAACGTCAAAACCGTATCGATTTCAACAAAGCCAGATGTCGAGGTATTGTAGCGACCCCAGAATAATAATAAAAAAGGGGGGGGGGGGGGGGGACGAAAGCAAGGAGAATAATCAGCGTCGTGTACTTCGCCGAATGAGGATGAAGACACAACACACCTCTGACCCATCTCGTCCGCCACATATCACGAGGGAAAGATTGAAGTCAGTAACAGAAATTGAGGGAGGTGAAAAAAGGAAGGAGGAGTGCGCGAAAATGACCAGAGTAGGAAGATAAAGGAACATAAAAGCAAGTAAACAACCAAACCAACAAACGCAACAAGGAAAAGAATCCGCCGCCAGCCCGATCTGCGCCCCCGCGGCGCTCGACGTTTGAGATGAAGCAGTGGTAGAGTTACGTGAGTATGAGAGAGGATGAGAATGAAAGGCAAGATGAAAGGAACAGACACCCTGTGTTGCGTCGCTAGCACCCCGCGGGTGCGCTGAGTACAGTACACGTCCTTCTCGGCGCTCACTCGCTGCTCATGCACACACGCAACGTCCACTCGCCGCCCTCGCTCCTGACCACTCGCACACACGTTCGAAGAGAAAAAAAAGGGAAAGGAAACCCCATCTGCGGAACGCGCACGCATGTCGACCACCTGCCCTGCTGTACTCCAACGAACACTGCCCACATGCCACGTCCTTGTGGGCAAGACGCACTCGCACCGATGAGCAGCTCGCCGACTAGCGCACCGATGCCGAGTGCGAGGCCGCCGATACCGGATACGCGCCGCTCAAGGACGGGGGTAGGGGGAAAACAAAGCGAGAAAAGGAAGACCGGGGGGATCAACACCGGCGCGTCCTAGTTTTGAGTTCGCGGCCGGCTCTAGAGGATAAAAAAAGGAGTCGGCGCGCTGCATGGTACGCTGGCAGCGCGGACGGAACGCACCCCCATGATTCCGGTTTCGGCCATGACGGGGACTGACTCGGAGACGCGTCGTCTGACGCGACGCATCACTGCGTCGACGAGCACGGTCGAAGCGCGGGCACAAGAAAAAAAAGAAAGGCGCGGAGGCGTGCAGAGGTGCAGATAAAATGGACATAAATTCTCCCTTGCGCGTGGCGTGGACGCCCGAGGTGCTGCGGACGGGCGGCGTACCAACGCGAAACACGGACGATGATACATCGCATGGATAGTACCACGGCGTCCGCGTTATTCGCCCCCGCGTCGGGGAGATGGGGAAATGGGATGCCGCGCAAAGAAGGGAAAAAAAAAAAAAAAAAGGGTACGTACCTTCTCTCCAATCCCTCTCACAGACCAACAGCAGCGCTCCCGCGCAGCGCAGCGTACACCGCGCGCGCGAGAGCAGGGTGTAGTGGGTGAGCGACGCAAGAAAAGGGTGCGCGGTGTACACGCACCTCGAAACAGTCCCGTGCCCTCCCTTGGGCTATCTTCTCCGCCCGCAATTCCCTCCCCATCTCGTGCTCATTGCTCGCGCTCCCGGGGTTGGCGGTATCGAGTCGAATGCGGCGTCGGCACGGTGTGCTGTAAGTGGTGTCTGAGTAAGCAAAAATGGAGTGTCAGTAAAATTGTGCAAGCACCGTAAACGAGTGAGCGCGCAAGTGAGGGCTAGGAATACAGGTAAGTTTGGCAGCGCGGAGGCCCGGACTGAAATTTTGGCGGCGTCAGTTTTTCAGAACGGACAAACTGGGCGCGGGGTCAGAATGGAGGGAAAGGAGCTGATATCCGCGCACTTGGTGATGGTAAACGAGTACGGTGCGTCGACGCGGCAGACTGTGGCGGAGGTGGGTTATGAGAAATAAATTAGAAAACAAGTTGAGGAGCCATACCCCAACGGCGTGCTCCATGGCCTCTCTGGGCCTCGAGGATGAGGACAGCGCAGGCGGAGATATGATCCTCGGTATGTACACTGCGTCGGGGTCGTTAGTCAGTGATTGTATGAGAGGGAGCGAGGTCTCCGCACATGTCATGCGCCTGGCTGGCCACTTGAGTCTAAGTCGATCACCGACTGTGGTGCCCAAAGGTTTTGGAGGACAAGTAAAAGGAACGCACATTGTCCCTCTATGCCACTCGCGGGCGTATCTCAGCAGCCAAATTCGTCCAAAAAATCAAGGCAAAGGAAACTCTCACCTGAGACGTGTAGCTCAACATTCCCAGGGCGTATTGTGTCTATGGGAGTGCGCTGGTCAGATTTGGAGCCCACAGAGGAGGTGTACCTCGACTTACGCGCCCTTCTTGGTGCAGACAATAATTCGCCATTGATTCGTTTATTTTGCTTTATAGGGACTTGGAAAGCGCGCTGGACGTGTCTTAGGAACGTATGAGGCGATTGAGAGCCGAAGATTTGGCCTGGCGGCGGGGGACGCGCGCCCAAGAGGTTAGAAGGTGGTGGGAAGAGGAGAGGAGCGGTGAGCTTCCGAAAATAACAATGACAAACAACGCGTGCATTTGCGAGTTTGAGCTTCGACTCAACTTCAACTACGTGTAAAAAAATATCCGGGGGCGTACAAATGTACTTGGGACTAATTCAAGACTAAAACAAAGGTTTTACGGCGTTGAAAACTGTCAGGAGCTACGGTGAGTAAACAGACTCGAGTCTCGTCGCCTTCACCTCATGCGACAACCACGCTTGCCTGTCAACCTAAAATGCACATGCCTTTTAACCCAGAAATAAAGTGCAACCATGTCTTCCCGTGTTAGGTTTACTCGGCCATTTTATGCCATTTTATCGATCGTAAGCAATCCTCCCGCATATTTTGGACGCTGTTTCTCTGCAGGTGAGACTCAATAAATCAGACACGTAGCTTTCCTCACGGTGGTCCGTCCTCTCAATAATCGCAGTCGATTCCCGTGTAGTTCTTGACAACACTGGCACAAATCTATCATGTGCCACGATAAAACCTATTCGGCTCGACGTACAAATTACATACCGAGACGATACAACTATCAAGAGGCCTTTCGTAACCATCCGTCGAGTGATGCACGCCAACCTTTTGTTGAACGAACTCATTCATTTCCTCCAGAGGGCCAAAGAATGAGCACGGAATAGCGAGCGATATAAAGTATTATTTTTACCGTATTGTCCCGTGCACAATTTACACTTACAAGTTCGAATCGGTTCGACACACCAAAAGAACAGAAAAATGACGGAACATTCTAGAGCGGGTCGCGATACAATCAGCTTGATATAAAATCCTACAAGAAAGCCACGAGTTCTTCCGGACGATTCCAAGGTCCTGCTTCCACTCGGCGTCTTCAACATTTTGCGGTTCTGAACGACCAACGACCTCTTTCATGCTGCCAAAAGAAAATCAGAAGACGTCGGTGACTCACTTGAAGCCATCATTGTACGAGTTTCCCACATCTACGAAGAGGAGCCTTCGTTTCGCGCACGATGCTATAGCACAGGGAGGCGGAAATCAGTCCAGAAACCTCACTTGGACCCACAAAACCCCAGTAAGGGGTCGACATCAACGGTGAATGGATGTCGATAGCGCGATATGACACACCGCCATCCCCAGGGTTCCACCTGCAAGATAACGGCGACTGGCGCCGGGGCTACACACCGAGATGTCGGCTTCACAGGCGAACACATGAATCACAGTCAATAATAACATAATTACCTGTACAGTGATGAGACTTCAACGAAGTTTCATTTTAACGGCAGTCCAAGTCCTACGCAGGACGACGCGGCAACTGTCCAAAATTGTGTCAGTTACGTCGACCAATATTTATGAAGAGCTTGGTATCAAGCAGCAACTTGCATGCACCATGTGCCACTAAAGCCTTTGTGGGCAGTTTTGCTGCGGTTACGGAGATCAGAGATCCTTTGGGCATTTTCGGGAACGGCGAGAGTCACAGCAACTCGAGGAAGAGCCTTGCACGTTTCCGTGATGGCGCGAGAGGAGGGTCATTCCTAGTCTGCGGAGACAGCGCCATCACGGTACGTCGAGTACTCCGGACCCGGAGGCGATAGTATGGATGTTTGCCAGTCGCACATACTGCTCATCGTACACTAGCGAGGCCTGGGCAGAGGGGTTATTGTGTTCCGGCCAGGCTTATAATGACTGAGTGCTAGGTTAGCGCGCCCAAAGGTGAACTTTGCATTGATGACCGGTCTTCGCATTTGGTCTTTGTGAAGTTGAAAAAGACATGCTCCAGTGGTGACGGGGAGTGCGGGAAGACATTGATTTTGCATTCTGTGATTCCCAGACATTTTATACGACCATGGCGTCCGGTTCGCAGGGATTAGGCTACCACGACGAGAAATTTGCGAGGAATCACCAAAAAACGGCGAAAGACAGAGTTCAGAGGAATAACCAGACGCAAAGAGAGATTAGAAGCCGAGATGAGACAGGTAGAGAAACCAGAGGTAAGGAGTGTTGGAATTTGTTTGGAATTTGGAGGATTAGCGGCCGTGCTTGCGTCGGATCAAACGTTGATAGCTTCCGCGTCAACCAAACACAAACCAGTGATAAATTTCAGCTTCTGGGTAGTCAATTTGGCCGTGGGAAGTGGGAGAAGAAAGTTTGAAAAAGCAGTCAAATTGACTGCACTTGGGCCAACTGCTTTGGACACAGTTAAACTGAGTGTGCCAAAAAGCAGTCAAATATAATGCAGTCGGATCAAATGTCCGAAAAATAAATCAATTGCTTACACACTTGATCTGACTGCGCTTACTCTCTACAGTGTCAGTAACAATCTCAGCTATATAACATTCAATTTCGGAACTAAACCACCGCTCAAGCACTCCGGCTTTTTCCTTGCTTCATGCGGGATGTTTGGTCTTCACGTGCACACATGCTTTCAAAAACTCAGGAGACAAATTTTGGAAACAATGCCTCGTGCATATGTTGGTGACTTTCTGTGGCGCGCTCTTGGTGTAACGGTAACACACGCTCTTAAGTGTTTCGGAGCGGTCCTGGGTTCGACTCCCGGAGGGCGCCTACACTGCTTAACCATCGGTTTTTGGTTTTGTTTTACTTTTATTTCTTCTTCCGTTCACACTTCATTCATTCATCCTCTCCATTCGGATTACACATGAATTCAAAACAGAATAAATGAAGGTTGGCACGCAGCTGCAACACCTGATCCCAATCTCGGCACCTATCCCGATCGCGCTCCTGGTGTAACGGTAACACACACTCACTGTTCTTTCGGGATTCGAGTGGTCCCGGGTTCGACTCCCGGGGGGCGCCTACAATGTGTACTGTGAATTTTTTGCTTTCTTCTTCTTCCGTTCACACTCCCTTCATTCCTCCTCTAGATTGCACATAAATTCAAAACAGAGCCGGGTCAACAAATAAATGTCGACAGGCTGGTTATTCATAACAATTGTAACAACAATCACACCTCACCCCAATCTGGGCACCCATTCTGATTGTGCTCCTGGTGTAACGGTAACACAACTCACTGCTCTTTCGGGTGTCGAGTGGTCCTGGGTTCGACTCCCGGGGGGCGCCTGCACTGCTTAACCACGAGGTTTTTGGTTTTTGGTTTGTTTTCCTTTCTTCCTCCGTTCGCACGCTTCATTCCTCGTTTTTGTCCGCATTGCACATAAATTCAAAACAGAGCCGGCAAATGCTTCAACTCAAAAATGAATGTCCGCAGGCAACAACATCAACGCCTCATCCCAATCTGGGCACCCATCCTGATTGCGCTCTTGGTGTAATGGTAACACACGCTCTCTAAAGTTTTCGGAGCGGTCCTGGGTTCGACTCCCGGAGGGCGCCTAGGGTCCCCGGTGTGTTTTTGTTTGTGTTTTTATTTCTTCTTCTTCCGTTTCCACTTCTTCTTTCGTCCGGATTGCAAGCAGAGCCGGGGAGTCACGGTGCTTCAACTCAATAAAATGTTGACAGACAACAACGACTCATCCCGATCTCTTCACTAACCTGGATCGCGCTCCTGGTGTAACGGTAACACAACTCACTGCTCTTTCGGGATTCGAGTGGTCCCGGGTTCGACTCCCGGGGGGCGCCTGGTCAAACCACAGCCTCTTTTTATTTTTTATTTGTTTCTTGTTTTCTTGTTTTGTGTTTTGCTTTCTTCTTCCACTACTGGGGTTGATGGATTTTTGGGCCCAAAACATGGCTTCCAAACATGTGTTCTGTTCAGCACAACTTTTGGAGCCTGCTCAAAAATGAACCAAACATAGTTGATTTTTGGATCACCTTTAACTCTCAAATTCTAAGAATGTTCGAGTATCTAAACTTGGTAAAACATGTAAGATGTTTGGTGTCAGTTTGGGCCGGAAAAACTCTCCAGTTCGGGGCACAAACATGTGAATTCTCATTGTTCTTCCGCTGTTTCAACATCAAACAGGTTGATTTTTGGTTCCAGAAGATCAGATTTTCTGTGAGCATTTGGATTCGAAAAATGGTTTATTTTTGCTATTCAATTGAGTGCCCGAACCTTGCTTACTTCTGGTTTGTATTTGACTTGGACCCAAACAGTGAACCAAAAAGAAAACATGTTTGGAGCCGATGTTTTGGTCCCAAACAGCAATCAACCCCTGGAGTGTTCCGTTCACACTTCATTCATTCCTCCTCTTCGTCCGCATTGCACATGAATTCAAAACAGAGCCGGGAAGTCAACTCAACACACATGGGCAGGCACACAACAACACCTCAGGCTCATCCAATGTTGGTAAACACTGTGCTCTTGGTGTAACGGTAACACGCGCCCTTTTGTTTAAAAGGGGTGGTCCTGGGATCGACTGCCGGGGGCCGCCTGACCTCATGAAAATTCTTTTACCTGACTATACATGTATAACTCAGGAGACAAATAAATTTTAATGGAGACAAAGTTGTCCTGAGTTATACATGTAAGTATAGTCGAGGCTGTTTTTGGTGCAGATGTGTGTTGTTGCGCTCTTGGTGTAACGGTAACACAACTCACTGCTCTTTCGGGTGTCGAGTGGTCCTGGGTTCAACTCCCGGGGGGCGCCTGGGTCATATGCCTGAAATTCCTTTTGCCTGACTATAACATTCAATTTTGGTCGTAGAACTAATACATGCCTTTTTGTCTGCCTCTTCTTAGAATTCCAAACAGAGACAGAGCCTCAACGCAGGAGACAAACAGACACATTTTGGAGACAAAGAGCATTCATGCTGTTTTTGGTACATATGTGTGTTGCACTCTTGGTGTAACGGTAACACACACTCACTGTTCCAATTGGATTCGAGCGGTCCCGGGTTCGACTCCCGGAGGGCGCCTAGGGTCCCAGGTGTGTTTTTGTTTTTTGTTTTTTGTTTTGATTTTTATTTCTTCTTCTTCCGTTCACACTTCATTCTTCCTTCGTCCGGATTGCAAGCAGAGCCGGGGAGTCACGGTGCTTCAACTCAATACAGGTCAGCAACACCACCTGATCCCAACCTCGGCACCCACTCTGATTGTGCTCTTGGTGTAACGGTAACACAACTCACTGCTCTTTCGGGTGTCGAGTGGTCCTGGGTTCGACTCCCGGGGGGCGCCTGGCCGACGCTTATGAATGGTTTTTGTTGACCTGACTTTACATGTATAACAATCAATTTTGGACATAGAACTAATGCATTAATATTCCTTTTTGTCTGCCTCTTCTTAGAATTCCAAACAGAGACAGAGCCTCAACGCAGGAGACAAACAGACACATTTTGGATACAAAGAGCATTCATGCTGTTTTTGGTACATATGTGTGTTGCACTCTTGGTGTAACGGTAACACACACTCACTGTTCCAATTGGATTCGAGTGGTCCCGGGTTCGACTCCCGGAGGGCGCCTGCTCCATGCTTGCAATTGTTGTCATTAAGGCTTTTTCAATTATTTACCTGAGTATAAAACATCAAGCCAAACCACCGCTTACAGTAATCACCCGCACTTTGTCCTTGCAATTGCTTCATGCTTCATGTTGGGTCTTCAAACCCACTTGTGTCCGTAATTACACCTAATCACAATCTCGGCACCCGCTCTGATTGCGCTCTTGGTACAACGGTTCTATGTAGTTTAGGGGGTTCTACATAGTTCTATGTAGGTTTGGGGTATTCTATGGCGCAGATGGATTTCTGATCAGCGGCCGACTGTCAACTCTTCAACGGACATTATGAAGGTCTGGTTGTTTGGCAAGTTGCAGAAAATCTGGTTTTGAGTTGTTCTAGCCTTAAAAAGTGTCGCGTGTGGGAAAGTATTTTGTGTTTTGCGCTTCAACTAAGCCGTTTGGCGAAAAGTGGGATAGACAACTTTTGTAGCTCTCTTTAAGCTCTACAACTTTGGTTTTGGTCTATTTTTAGCATCTACAAATATTTCACATACCCTGGATTTTTTTTTTTCAAGGTGAAAAGTCTTTCAGAGTGGATAGAGAATTATTCACACCCAGATAGACACCATGAGGCGACGGGTGAGGGCGGAGAGAAGAGTAACCTCGCCTGGGACAGGCGAGGTTCCTATGTATCAGAATCATTCCCCTAGGGTTGTATGGACTCTTAGCTCAGTTGGTTAGTGCGCGAAACTCTGTCTTTTGGCTGGACTCCCGAGGTCGCGTGTTCGATCCTCTCAGGAAACATGTTAATTAATTACAATTTAAAATAGATATTGATACAATACAATAAAGACATTAGTTGAATACCGTTACTCAACAGCAAATTTGAACTTGAAAACATAAGATAGTAGTGTTAGAGTGTTCACCAAGTAAGACTTTTGTGAGCTTCAGAACCTGAACTACGTAGAACTACGTAGAAGGCCCCCCAAACTACGTAGAAACCCCTTCAACTACGTAGAACTACATAGGAGGTACCCTTTCTACAGTACTACACCAACTACAGCAACTACGTAGCAGACCCAGGGTTTGCTGATGCTGATCCCAACCTCAGCACCCACTCTGATTGTGCTCTTGGTGTAACGGTAACACACGCTCTTGGAGCGGTCCTGGGTTCGACTCCCGGAGGGCGCCTGCGCGACTTGTTTGAAAGTCTTTTGCCCAACTACATAACATTCCATTTTGTGGCTTTTCTCTTTTCTCTTTCTTCATGCAGATGGTGTTTGGTCTTCAAACCGAGTTGGTTGAGCTCAATCCATGTTGGCAACACACACCTCATCCCAATCTCGGCACACATCCTGATCGTGAAATTACAAAACAAAACAGAGCCTCCAAGTGCTTCACCTCAATAAATGAACATTGGCACACAACAGCAGTAAACACTCATCCCAATCTTTGCAATGTTTCTGATTGTGCTCCTGGTGTAATGGTAACACACACGCCCTTTCGTTTAAAAGGGGTGGTCCTGGGCTCGACTCTCGGGGGGCGCCTGACCAATGTTGATGAATGGTTTTTGGCCTGATTAGAGAGTGTGTGGGAAGCGGCTGGAGCGGCCCAGGCCGCTCCACTGGTATGTGCCGGGAGCCTGCGCCACTTGAAACGGGTCGCTTGCCGAATGACATAATTTTGACATAATTTGTACCCGTAGTGTTGAGAAATTTCTTCCACACATCCTGCGTGCCCATAATGCCCGTGCAGACACGCACTCGAGGCAAACAACCCCCCAAAGCCCAGCCCACCCGTCAAAAACGTGTCCAGAGCAACGCTATCGCCACACCACCTGCCCCAAGCCATAGTCCCAGTCTTGCCCACTCTGCCAGTGCGGGGGAAGGCTCCGACTACGAAGAACCGGAGAACGAGGACGAGGAGAACGATGGCTCTGGGCCGGACAAGAATAGCGCTGATGAAGCTGGTGAGTGACATTTCGCGGGAGCGATAACTGATACTTACTTTTGTATGCAATCAGTGACCCAGAACACGTTGAAGGCGCGCGCAACCCACTGGCGGCCCTGGCAGGACCGTATTCTCATCCAGCAAGTCAATGTTAATCGCCCTTTTCTCCTTGAGGATCCCCAAGAACGCGCCGCAGCGTGGGATGCCACTGCCGATACAGTAAATGCTGCTGTGAGTAAGAGCGTGACACGCCCGTGGATGCTGCGCATGGGAGAGGCCTGCCGCAAGCGAATGCAGCGCCTCATGAAAAATCACAAGGTGTGTTTGCACACCCTCATTGCTACTTTGCTTGTGGTGACATCGGGTAGGCCGGGGACGCGCGCTCACTGCAGAAGACGGGTACAAATGAGGAGGTTGACGAATTTGTCCACGTACGTGTTCTATCTTGTGTTTTGTATCGTGGGCTCAATTCCTGCAGCTTTTGGGCGAAATATGTGCGTTGGCTGATGGTGAAGTTGTTGCAACTGCACGCAAGGTCAAAAAGAAGAACGATTTGGAGGCGCAGTCGGGCGCGGAGATGTGTGATGCATCGATGAAGGGCCTTGTCAAGAGCGCTGGTCTGTGTGACCTTGCATCGTTGCAGGGTGCAACTGTACGGAAGTGTCAGTGTAAGCCCGGCGGCTTACGGACTGATCACGTACTTACATCAGTAGTTGTTCCCTTGTCGTCTACCTTTGTGTATCGCTCGCTCGCCCGCCCGCTCAATCCATACCGAGATTCTGTTGAGCTCTGGTGTGATTTGGCTCAGTGTTTCCTGGTCCGCCCGCCAGGCTTCCACTTTCTTTTCAACTTCAATCTCGACTCGCCTCGCCGTGCCACGCTGGCACACAATCCACCTCGCCGTGCTGCCACGCGCGTCTCTATCGCCTCCGGCTCGACCCCGCTATTTCCTCCACTCCCTCCACCGACCCGTCGCCCGCGCACCACGTCAACCGATCCCGTCATCACCGAGAACGCCACGTCATCTGCTGAGCCCGAACTCTCGCCGCTCTCGCCGCTCACCCCGCTGCTCGACGATCCTGTCCCGCACCACGACCCTCCACCACACCTACCTGTACCTCCTCGGCGTCCACCCCCTATGTCATCATCGAAGCTCGAATTCCCCAAGTTCACGGAGGAGCCCACGCCGACATCTGTCAACGGCTGGATTGGTCGATGTGAAGACACCTATGAAGCATGGCAGGGCATGCACCCCGAGCGGTCCGTGGCGCCGAAACTGCTCATCACGCTCGCAGGGTTGCGGATGGAGGAGCTGTCTGCGGCAACTTGGTGGAACGAAAACCGCGAGAATTTGAAGAAGCTGACGTCGTTCGAAGAGTTCGCCGGGAAGGTCAGGGAACGTTTTGTCCCCGCGAACTGGAAACTTGCTGCGCTCGGTGAATTTTACGCCATACGCCAGGGCACCACATCCTTCCGCCAATTCGCTAAAGCACTCGAACTCGCCCGCAACTCGCTTACCTCTGCCGGTGTCGCATACACCATCAACGACTCCATTCTCAAGAACCACCTCCTCTTCCAGTCGCACCCCATCCTTCGTCTCCGTGTAATTGGTCAACCCGGATTTGAATATGCCAATATGAAGGTCGACGGTCTTATCGCCAATATGAGCACCGCGTGGGAAAGCCTGGTCGCAGAACGTGTTGTACGCGAGTCTAGTGAGCCGCTTGTTGTTTCCATCCCTTCCTCAGTGGCTCCCCTTCCATCGACCTCTTCCGCACCGTCGCTCCCTACCCCGCCCTCATCCGCGCTTGCTCGTCCCTTCTCGTACTCGCTCACCTCGGCCGAAAAAGAGGCTCTCCGCGCGGCTGGTGGTTGCTACCACTGCAAGAAGACACCCCAGTCCCCAGGCTGGACAAAGCATCGCAGCGACAACTGCCCGGGCGACACTGCGCTCGGTATTCCTCCGCGCTCGGCATCTTCGGTTGTTGCCGCTGTAGGTCCGATTGGGTTTTCGTCGCTATACGGAGAAATCCACGCCGTTGCCGCAATTTTTCCAGCAGTCGAGGACGAGAACGACAGCCTTTCCGAAGGGACGGACGACAGTGATTACTGAATATTTCTCCCCCTTTGATACACTATGGCCTTTTAATATCGCTTCTTCGTTTCGGGCAATCCCTCGTTTCTTCCTTGGCGCGTTTGCGTGTGGTGTCCTCACTGTGCACCTGGCCTCGGCCCTGTTCCCACTGATGTGTCCCATCTCAATCGCGTTCTGGTGGAACGAACCTTGTGGTACTTCACTCTATTTTCTTGTCGTCGGATATTCAGTTGTTTAGAGTGGGGGAGGGTGTAAGCCCGGCGGCTTACGGACCGATCACGTACTTACATCAGTAGTTGTTCCCTTGTCGTCTACCTTTGTGTATCGCTCGCTCGCCCGCCCGCTCAATCCATACCGAGATTCTGTTGAGCTCTGGTGTGATTTGGCTCAGTGTTTCCTGGTCCGCCCGCCAGGCTTCCAGTCAGGCCCAGTGCGGCGGAAAGTAAGTTTCGTTCCGTTTAATTAGATTCGACTTTGCATCTAACTGTGTGTGTGTCAGGCGTAAGCGCGATGATACAAATGAGAACAAGGGGCTGAGCGCCAATGCTATCAACAAGCGCTGCAAGAAAGGTATAGGTGCTTTGCAAGACATTGTCAATACCTCGAGGAGGACAAAGTTGCGCTCAACACCGCTCGCCAACGCGACGAGGCAACAGCTTAACGTACTGAAGGATATAGCACAGGGTCTCAAACGCATCGGCGACAACCTTAACAGCCTTCGCGATGAACAAGAACAAACCAATGCCCTACTCCGTACGCAGGAGCTTGATCGTCGTGAGCGGGAGCTTCAGAATATGACGTAGATTTAGATGTAATGAACCGTGCTCTAATTTTACATGTCCCCTTCGTTCCCAGTCGTGTTCTCATCTTGCAAATTTAGTGTGAAATTTGCAAAGAATAACCAAATGTATTGAATACTCCTAGTTACTACCACAACTACCCACTGTTGGACTTAGGCAAGTTGGCACAAGGCTGCGCAGAGTGTAACCAAGTTAAAGCACAAGGACAGAGTCCTGTAAAACTGGTGTAGCTCAAGGGGTGACTTCAGACGTTAGCCAATGTCTGAGAGGTCGAATACCAACAGGGGAGTGGGATTCACTGTCCGTACATAATTTACATGCCTGGTTAAATACATTTCTGCCAAAACTATAAATATAGAAGATGTGAGAGAAAAACCCGTCTTTCCGGGGTGAGAACTCCGTGTGAGACCGATGGAACAGCGCCCAGGAGTGATAAGTATCAGCCCCACCGCTCTCCGATGCAATTTCCGAGGAAAAGACCCACTTTCCCAAAGGGAAATTCTGCTTTTTTCCATTGTCTCCAGGCACCCCAGGACAATCTGTCTGCCGCTGCCACCTAGACCTTGACAGCACGCAACAACACCTCAGGCTTATCCCAATCTCGGTACCCATCCTGATTGCGCTCTTGGTGTAACGGTAACACATGCTCCCTTAAAGTTTTAGGAGTGGTCCTGGGTTAGACTCCCGGGGGGCGCCTGACCCACATTCATGAAATTCCTTTTGCCTGACTATAACATTCAATTTTGGTCATAGAACTAATACATTCTTTTTCATCTGCATCCTTTGCGCTCTTCTTATATGTATTGTGCTCTTTGGTGCAACAGTAACACACACTCACTATCTCATCCAATTTGAGTGGTCCCGGGTTCGACTCCCGGAGGGCACCTTTCACGCTCATCCAAGCTTTTTCAATTTTTCCATCCAGGCTTTTTCAATTTTTCGCCTGAGTATGAAACATCAAGCCAAACCACCACTCATGCACTCGCACTTTTTCCTTGTTGGTCTTCAAACCGACTGGTGAATGTGCGTGATAACACCTCACCCAATCTCGGCACCCATCCTAATTTCGCTCCTGGTGTTACAGTAACACACACTCTTAAGTTTTTCAGAGCGGTCCCGGGTCTGACTCCCTAGGGGCGCCTGATCCAACTCCTTGATTTTTTCAATGTGCTGGATTTAAGTACTCCTTTTTTTTTGTTTGTTCAAGTTGCAACATGATACATTCCTTTTCACCCTCTTCTCACGATTCAAAACAGATCTAGAGCTTGAGCTCAGTAGACAAACAAACACATTTTGGAGACGAAGAGTATTCATGCTGCTTTTCAGATGGTACATATATTTGTGCTCTTGGTGTAAGTAATGGTAACACACACTCACTGTTCTATTGGATTCGAGTGGTCCCGGGTTCGACTCCCGGATGCGCCTGAACTGGCGACTGACTTGTTGTTTTGTTTTTATTTTATTTTATTTTTGTTTTTGTTTTTGTTTTTTGCTTTCTTCTTCCGTTCACACACTGGCACTTCATTCCTCCTCTTCGTCCGGGATCTAGAGCTAGATCTAGACTTCAACTTAAGAGACAAACAAGGCCATTTTGGAGACAAAGGGCTTATTCATGCTGTTTTGGTAGGTATTTGTGTTGCGCTCTTGGTGTAACGGTAACACACCCTCACTGTTCCTATTGGATTCGAGTGGTCCCGGGTTCGACTCCCGGATGGCGCCTGAACTGGCGACTGACTTGTTGTTTTGTTTTTATTTTTATTTTTTGCTTTCTTCTTCTGTTCACACACTTCATTGTTCGTCCTCTTCGTCCGGATTGCACATAAATGAAACTAACTAAACCTAGTCATTGAGAAATAAGCTTCTTGTTTTCTTGTTCATAGTTCCCTTCTAGGCACTTTATCTTGTCTTTGTGTGACCACTGCTTTGTTAATGTTGTGACTATCTGAGAGGATGTGCGTCGGATATGCATTCAAGGCACATGATTTTTGTGTGCCTGTAAACCCGCACGGTTTACAGACTGATTGGACCTTACATAAGCTAGTCTACCACTTGCGCTCGTCCCTCGTCGCTCGCTGAATACGCTGTGGTCCTGTTGACTTGGGTGTGATCTCGTCTTTAGTGTTTTGTGTCCAGCCAACACCTTTACAGTGCCTGGGTCACCCTTCCCCACGCTGATTCGGATACTTCCTAGATTTTGTTTCTGTTTCAGGATTAATCTCTTGGTCATGCCCGGCGATTGAGCGACTTTTGATTGATGTACTTTCCTTTCCCGTTCTTCTTTGATCTCGCAGGGATGACTGTCGTGCGATACATAACTCAGATCAGCAAAATGTTTCGCGTCTGGAGCGTGTAGATGTCTGGGATGATCTGGAGGCGTCTGGGAGTGGCTGTGCTCCAGATCCCCATACCGCCAGAGTGCCACTTTCTTCTAATTCCCACTTTTTGCTAGTCTGTTAGTTACCGTGCCCGTTACCCGGTGGCCTGCGTTATCATGTAACCATCATGGATGCATGCCCAAACAAGCCCTCAGCGAGACGCGTCTCGACACGTTTCTCGGGTTGCCTTGCTCGGATAGGTTCCCAGAGTTGCCTCATCTTGCTAAAAGCATTATTTACGGTGTGGCAGTCCGCCCTTTTCCCTCCCGTCGAAGGATAGTTTTTGGGAAGTGGACCGAAAAGAGAACAAAATCACCAAAATATATTCATATTGGGGTGTGTGGCTCAGGGAACTTCAGGAAACCCTCAAGAAGTTATCTTTGTCCAGTAAAAGGAGACTTGCACCTTCAATTCACGTCTGAACATCATGGGTATCTCAAAACGCGTCCAAGTCGCGTCGCTTAATCCTACATGTGATGTCCGAAAGCGGATGATTTGTAATAACGCAGGCCACCGGTTAAGTTACGCGGTAACTAACAGACTCTATCAAGCGAGGTACAAGCTAGGTATGATAGCGCGTCTGTCAAGAGAGACTAACTTTTTGCCTGGTCAAAATTTGGTAGAGAGCTTCCACAGGAGCCTTGTATTTCATACTACAACCTTCCTCGGGGGGAACTTGGAGGCTGTTAGTACCTAGTCTCTGGTAGACAGACGCTACAACATTTTTGCTCATACCTTGCAAGTTGTAGCTAGTACCCCCGGCTACCCCGGAATCCAGATTTTCAATTTTTGAGAGCCGTGATCCCCGGTGGACGGAACCTCGGCACCAAGCAGTTCAGAGGGAATAACATCGAAACGAAACTCGCGCTGATTTGACGAAGGAATGCGAAGGATGAGAGGAAACGCGAACAACTTGAAAAATAATCTCGTCAAGTCCGCCAGAGAAAGTTTCGTACTTTTAGCCCCACGACTTTGGACGCATGTGACGTGCCATTCGGCTCTCTGCAAAGAATCTTTAAATCTCCGCTCTCGCTTGGAAAACACAACGCGGGGTAGCACAAAGGTGGCAACAGCGATGGGCGGGTTGAGAGGTTATCCAATTTTTTTTTGCGGTTCGTGATCATGAGTGAAGGTGGCAAGTAATGAAAGGGATTGAATTTAACAGTAAATACACAGTGCAAGTCAGAGGTGCTAAATATGCGCGGAATTGTATGTTTCGAACGCGATCCGACGTGTCAAACGGAGGGAAGCATATTTTTAAGGGCACACTGCATGATAATGCGGCCCCGTGCACCGTTCGGCGGCCAGGGAGGTACGCAATCGCACACCCAGATCGTCGATAAAGAAGGAAAATAAGGGAATGACTCACAATATCGCAGCACGGGGCGTCCACAGCACCTTCAATCGAAACCACTTGCCTTTCCCTCCACATTTGTGCCGTCCCGCCATTATGATTCTTCAGCGACACCGCCGCACCCGTAACACCGATGAGTGGCATGGCCAAAACACCAGCAGCGATACATTGTCAGAGGAATATTAATGGTTAGAGTGCATAAACGTCTCATCGACAACGCGAGAGCTTGTGGGGAGATGGAGGAGTACACCTGGAAGGCCGGATGGTGAGTGGTAGTGGTACGAAAGAGAGCGTAGGAGAGCGTGGACAATGGGATGTCGGAGTTTCAAAACAGTTGGACCGGCCGAGATGCCACTCACGTGCATCTCAAAGTCGTGGGGCTAAAGGTCAATGATTGTAGGTGGCCGGCAGGCGGTGGGGCACAAACAGGTCAAGATTTGAATTTTTTGAGTGTTCCTTGGTTTGCGTTTTTTTCTGGCTGAATTGAGCATGAGTTTGCTCGTAACAATATTGTTATCTTCGGGTGAAAAATGTACAGCTCGGATCGGAAGGGTGTCACTCTTGTAGGATAATGTCAATTTGAAATAATACCAATCCCAACATCGAATTGGCGTTGCGGTGACAGAAAGAACAAGGACTACTGTACGGGAAAGAGCAGCGGATGTAGTCTGAACACGATGCTCTCTCATATTTGTACGACATGAATAATGTGACTGGATTCAAAAACTATACCGACGCACCTCAGTCACGAATTCATTAGATTGCACTTGGGGCCAGTTCTGCTAGTTTCGACAACTTGAGCTATTCGCCGCGATGCTGTTTCACGCTGATGCTTCCGCGCCGGGGAGCGAACAGTTTTCTCCCGGGAAAGCATCAAGCGGTTCGGAGGAATAAGTACCCCAGGAATATCAATCTGTTCAGCTGCCTGAGCATCAGCTGAACGAACGAGACAAGACCAGGCACAGGAGTGGGCCTGCATATCGAGAGCACTCCGTTGCTGAGGACGTGAAACAACATTGTGCTCGTGCGCAACCGTGGATAGTGCAGTGATACGCTGACTCGGGCCCTATGAGCGGAGCTGAACAAACAAATGAACAACAACACTCGGCAAGCAAGAGTCTAAACGTGGGTGTGCGAGGTGGTCCAAGATGTCCCAATACCAATCAGGTACGTGTGAGCGGACTGGACGGTGGCGACGAAGGACGAGCGTAGGCGATAGCGATGGGCGAGAAAGACAGTGATCGGGGACGACGAAGGACACAGAAGGGACGGTGATCGGGGACGACGAAGGACTCAGAACGTAGGCAGATGAACTGCAGAGGGCGATATGCAAGGGGGCAAGAAGTGGGAGATGTATTGCAGGGGGGCAGGTCTCTACTATACAGTGTAAAGATGGGGGGCTTTTATAGTAATTGGATAGAGGTGGGAAAATGAGGTAATGGTCCGTAGGAACCACGGAGAGTACATATAAAAGAAAGTCCGTGAACTAATGGAGTAAACATTCACGGAAAGTGTCCGAAAGCAGCCTACGGACAATGTCCTAAAGCAGCCACGGAGTCAGGCCTCAGGACCGCGTGCGATTCCGTAGGAGTTTCCGTAGTCCGTGGATCGTGGATCTGCCGTGGTGAACCGTGGGAAGCGGTGCCGTATATCCGTGGTGTCAAGAGTGTGTGTACGCGCCCAGCGCGAGCTGGTGCGCATCATCTCCTCCCAACTGAAAAACTGACTGTCCTCAGGCAGCCGCAATCGAATAATAAAGGAAACTTTGTTCCTCCCAACTGAGATTGAAACCGTGGGATTTATAGTTCAATGTCGTCGTCCTCGGGGCCTGCAAGCGTGCTCTGTTCCATTTCGCGCAGGCGCTCGGTGGAAATATCGAGGAGGTCCTCTAGTGTGGGCAAGGGGATGCTTTGGCGGGCAAAATATGGGATAACCCGGAAGGCAGCGATTGGTCTGTGGAAAACAGA